CGTGTTCACGAAGACGCGCCACCAATCCGTTCTCTCTCCCGGTCATGACCGACGCCCCGACCGTGCTGATGCCGACGATCTTCGACACATCGACGGCAGCGGAGCGAAGATGGTTCAGAAGCACCTCAAACAAGGACCCTGCATCACACCGCTCGGCCGTCAGCAAAGTGAAAAACTCGCATGCAACTTGGCGGTTCTTCAGAAATGTAAGGTACACAATCATGTTTTTCCCTCGCGTGCGGTCAGTGCTCTCGTCGCACTGGATGCCCAGGAATGGTGATGCCAGGACGTGGTCCATCTGCACCCGGGTGAGGTAAGTGCTCATGTTGTGGACCATCTGCTGGAAGCCATTGTCGAAATATAATTGACATATTTTATAACTGCTTGTAGTTGTAGTGTAGTTATTGTGCTTTGTAGGTGGTGCACCAATTTCATTTGTTTCCTATGCTATATGTTCCTTGAACCTATAGTGAAACCCACCTTTTTCTCCTTTCCAACTTCCTCGATCCTCTCACCCTTGCCCAAACTCACTCGATACCTAAGTTGGGCCTAGGCTCCTAAGCCTAGGCCCTAGTTAAAACTTAGCTCACTCTCGCTTATTTTGACATGGTTTCAGAGCACGTTTCGATCTGGCCTGTGTGGGCCCGCCTTAAGCTTCCGCTGCTACTTTTCCGGTCGCGCGCCTAGGGCGCGTGGCGATTTTCTTCTAGTCCCGCCCCCGGTTGGCGTGTGACTCTTTCTCTGCCCGTCGCGCGCCCCGTGGCACGCGACGGTGCCGTAAACCTGCCCGTCGTACGCCCCGTGGCACGCGACGGTGCCCTGCTCGTCGTGCGCCCCGAGGCACACGAACGGGCCCTACTCTTAAACTTACCCGTCGTGCGCCCCTTGGCACGCGACGGGCCTTTCCGCACCCGTCCTCACTGCAGCCGCCCTTGACCTACCTGCGCCAACATATAGTAGCCGCTCTGCGGCTTTCTTCCCGCCCACCCCCCTCCTCCTTTGTCTCCCTGCAGCCGTGGGGAGGAGGGTATGGGGGTGGCGGGTGTTGGAGTTTTGGGTCATTTCCTTCCCTTCCCCTCCTCCTCCTTTCGTTCCCATTGCTGCAGCTGCCGCTGGGGGGGAGGGTGTGAGGGTGTGGGGGAGAAGGGGGATTGGCACCGGGGTGGCGGGTGTGAGGCAACCAGCAGCCGTCCCTCCACCTCTCCTCTTCCCCCCCCCTCTCTGCTGCTCTTGCAGCAGTGTGGGGGAGGGGAAGGAGGAGGGTGAGGAGATGGAGTGGGTGACCATCCAGAGTTAGCCCGCCTGCAGTACCTGCTGTTGCTTGTTATTTTGCATGGTGTACCCCCTCAGGGGGCGTAACTATACTTCTACCTACAAGCACTTATGGGGGCGTGTCGAAATATAATTGACATATTTTATAACTGCTTGTAGTTGTAGTGTAGTTATTGTGCTTTGTAGGTGGTGCACCAATTTCATTTGTTTCCTATGCTATATGTTCCTTGAACCTATAGTGAAACCCACCTTTTTCTCCTTTCCAACTTCCTCGATCCTCTCACCCTTGCCCAAACTCACTCGATACCTAAGTTGGGCCTAGGCTCCTAAGCCTAGGCCCTAGTTAAAACTTAGCTCACTCTCGCTTATTTTGACAGCCATAGCTGCAACAAAGGATAGAGAAATGATCAGTACACGATAGTCAAGCAAGTTGTTTGACGTGCATATTTAAATTTGCAAACTATTTGAACCGTCACTTACCGCGTGAGATAAACGCCGTACGACTGCCGGGGAATGTCTGGCGTGTCCTGCTCCGCAAGATGCCGCATCAGCTTATGAAAAATGCTAATCGGCGCGTCGCACTGGCACAGGAACTGAGTCGACCGCATCAGCCGTATCGCGCGGCGGCCCTCGACGTCGGAGTTGATGAAGTCCGAAATCACCTGCTGCCCCTCGCGGATTCCCGCCGCAATCTTCATCTGGCGGTCCACCGCCGCCATGTGTGCGTCCGTATGCTCGTGCGCCCGGAACGACTACGTCTGCAAGTCACGGCCTCCGTCGTCTCCCTGCATGGCGTACATCGTGTTCCCCTTACCATATGACATGCAGATGCTGCACTTCACGTACGGGAAACCGTCCTTGGTTTTCCCAAACACAAGCCAAGAAAAGTATCCCGCCCACTTCGTCTCGTAATTAATACTCGCCTCCAGGTACATCTGCTCTCGCAGCTGCATCTTGGTGAGTGCCGGCGAGCCGGTATCTGCGCGCACCGGGATGTCACCTTCTTCCGGCAACTCAGCTTCTTTCTGTGCAGGCTCATCGGGCTTTTCTGGCGGTGGAATACGGCGGCCTCCCACCAGCAGAGTAGTCTGCGCCCACTTACCAGATCGCACACGCTTGGGAGCGGAAGTAGCCGACGGCGGGCCAAGGGACACCCACACCGTGCTTGGAGTAAGACTGGGCGAGGGCGGTGGAGGATCTTTGCTGCAGCCAGCAACAGCCGGGGGGAGAGTGAACGGGACGGGAATAGGAGAAGCAGTAGGAGTAGGGGTTACTACAGGGGCAGAGTCGTGAACGGTAGACCTAGGCGGTTCAGGTGTGACGGGAGCAGCCGTAGGTCTAAGAAAATCTAGCCCAGAGCGGGGAGCATCCGAAGCTTTCTCCGGCTGGGACGGCGCTGTTGGTTTCGCTGTTACAGGCGGCTCGTCGGGGCCAGTGTCCGGAGCTGCTTCGTCGGCCGGCATGGCCTCCATTGATGGCTAAACTGAACGAGAGGAAAATGAGACAATGAATGCACGTAATGGAAAGAACACACCAGTGAACAAAGGAACGTTGGCTGTTGGTATGGGGAGGGAAGGGGAGGTTGGAGATGGCGGGAGCACGAAACCACCGCGCCACGATTCCACGGACTTGATGGCAACATTCGACGATGACTTCGTCGTTGCATTCAAGGCCGAATTCATTCACGGACTCCTTGGCTGCCACCGCATGCTGTCAACAGGCCATTCTGGCCAATGGCAGACACATGCTGTGCACTGTGCGGTGCGCGTGGCAGCACCGTATCATTGATTTGGCTGCGTTGGCGCTGTTGCCAGCTGTGATGTACAGCACGTCAGTGTTTTCCTTTGTCGATATTACGTCACTCACGGGCGCGTGAAGGGGGTACCTCACATGGGGCCACTCGAAGAAATGATTACGCATAAGGGGGTTATCAAAACGAAGCTTCTAGGAAACTTCGTCCCAATACCCTCGCATTCAGGGTCCACGGAACGCATACCCTGCATAGACAGAGTCCGCAAGTACACTACTCTGAGCCTAGCTACAAGAATTCAGAGTCCGTTAAGTAGCTTCTCTGATTGGATCAGAGTTCACAAAATACAAAACCTGTGTTTGCAGGGACCACCAAGTCAGAAGCCTGTAATCACCCTGAAATCAGGGTAATTACCCTGATATCGTCAACCCTGTTGCCTGCACTGTTGCACTCCCTTTAATCTGGCACCGCACACAGCATGGCGCAGCACGCAACACGGCATAGCACACAGCACAGCACATAGCACATCACAGCATATAGCATGGCACAGCACACTGCATGGCACAGCACACAGCATGACACAGCACACAACATAGCGCGTTACACAGCATGGCACAATACGCAGCATTGCACAGCACACAGCATCGCATCACACATAGCTCTGCACAGCACACAACATCGCACAACACGAAGCATCGCAGCACAGATCATCGCGCAATACACAGCATGACACAACACATAAGGCAGTCATCCTACTTATGGGCATCATGTGCCACCAAGCATGAGCATTTGGCTCTCATGCAACAGGTGGCATCAGCACCGTAAGAATTGTTGAAAGTTATTTAAATCCATTAAACCTTAGGTTGCTACCTAATCCCTCCAATAAGTTCTCTCTCCCAGGCCATGAGAGACAGCCATGCACAAGAGGGAAGGCTTTAGTGAGCGAAGACTTATTAGCACAAGGAAATGGCGTGTATGGCCGGGGTCGAACTTTGCAAAAGCTCGAAAACTTAGAGAGCTTTTACTCGGCAGGATACACTCGATAGACGTGTTCCCAAAGTGCAAGCTATTGGAGTTAGAACTTCAACAGTTTTCCAGAAATCACACACGCCCTAAAACATATGTTTATGTAAGCTGCTGGCTATCGGGTAAAGCTCTAACCGTTGGGAAGGAGAATCATTCTCAACCATACTAAACCGCGCTGTTTGAGGCTAGATCCACTACAGCTGGAGGATATTACTGGTCATGGGCTTAGCAATTGCGAAAGTTTCCCATGGTTTTGACGAACGCTTGCGTAAATTTTGACGAACGCTTCCCACCACTCATCCTCACCGTTCTGTCCACCAACCTCACCACAAATTTTGGAAGTGACGTTTCTCAAAGCAATCGGAATACCCTGACGTAGCAGTCAAGTCTGTTGAGTTGAGATGAGATTATCCACCTCGAAGTATCCACGCATCCAGATGAAACCGCTCGGACGCGTCAAGATAGTAGACACTAGTGCCGGCCGACTGCAATGCACATCTTCGACCCTTCGGGCGCTTCGCGTCTAGTTTCTACCTCGTAGAATGTCGTAGAAGCTCCTAGTTACTGCGATGTAGGAGTTCTAGGAGTCGAAAGCATTCGCATGGCTGGATCGCATGCAAGCGCGCCCTCTCCTGCGTGCAGCATGTTAGGGCCTTCGGTCGTTCATCAATTCTAGCGCATAGCAGCTCGTGCTGACCGGGATGTAGGAGCGGTGGTATTCAAAAGCATGTCCGTGGTTGGTTTGTGCGCGAGCTCGCAGTGACTGCCGTGCAGCATGGTAAAACCGGTCTTACCTCCGGGGGACTGGCGGGTTTTAATTCTAAACCGGCGGGGTCTCATAGTGGCTCGTACTGACCGCCATGTAGCATTCCGAAACCGTTTGCACCCCTCTAACTCGTAACAACCGCCATATAAGATTTCGAAACCGTCTACTTGGCATCAATTGATCGCCATGCACCGTTCACCCTCCATGCCAGCTGCCGCATATGGCGGGGCCACGTCATTGTTGTCCACGTCACCGCCTCCAGGCCAAGCAGACGGCTTTTCTTACGTCAGTCCTGCCGGCATCGACGTCACCGCAACCCGTTCGGACCCCTCATCCATATCAAACCTCTCCCGAACCTCCACCGGACCTCCGCTCTCCCAAGCCTCTACCGGGCGGTCTCTCTCCCGAGCCTCCAGCGGAGGCTTGAGCAGCAGCAGCTGGACCGGCGTTCCGCCTTGGGACTGGCCGGAGTCTCTAGCGCCCGCTTTTGTGGCGGGAGCAGCGGGCAGCGGCGGTGGCGCATGGGGGACAGCGGGTGGGGGAGGCGGAGCATGGGGGGCAGTGAATGGGTCAAGGGCGGGAGGGGCGGCGGGGGGAGGTGGCACGGGAGAGGGCGCGCAGCAGCAGGGGAGCTTGCAGGGAAAGCCGGCCTTGGGAATGCACTCTGTCGGCGGGTATATGCTTCCTGGGAGCGGGTATGGCGGGGCTGCTGCTGGTGGTTTGGGGGGATGGGGAGGGCCAGGGGCCTTCAACGGAGGGGGAGGAGCAGGGGGCGCAGGCAGAACGGGAGGAGCAGTGGGAGCGGTGGAAGCAGGGGCGGTGGCAGCAGGGGGAGGTGGGATTGGGATCGGAACGGAGGTGGGATTTGGCCGTCAATCCTTCCTTGCAGCTTCCTCCACGTCCCCTCCTACCATCACCCGTTCACTCACCGACCCTCGCATCTTCGCCCCCCGCCAGGCCCCCTGGCACGCACCCGCGCTCTCCCCCTTTCCCGCTTCCGCCTCCCCCCCGCCTACCCCTTCCACCTACTCCCCGCCTCCCACGTCCGCGTTCCCGCCGGGCTTTCCCCTGCTGTCCGTTGACCCCTTGTCCCCGCTGGGGGCGGGCGCGGACCTGCTGCTGTCCCCCACGCGCCCGCTGCCGGTGTGCCCGGCCAAGGGGCAGTGGGTGCGCGGCAGCCAGATCGGCGCAGGGGGCTTCGGGAAGGTGTTTCAATGCGTGAGGTGAGGAGGGTGGCATGGCATGGTAGGTTTCAATGCGTGAAAGGCAGTTGGCTTAGTTGCGAATGACTCTCATGCCTCCTCTCGTGCATTTCAAATCTGTCTGCATCTCGCCCCTTCTCGCCCACGCCTCCGTTCGTCCCATGCCCCCCCGTGCAGCATCGTGACAGGAGAGGCGTTCGCAGTGAAGCAGGTGGCGTTGATGGCTCCAAAAGCCATCCCGGACGGACCTCTCTGCTTCTCGCCCCCAACCCACGCCCCTGCCCCCCACGCCCTCTGTGCCCCTGCCGATTCCCCCCTGGTGCGCCTGCATGTGCCCCTGAGCAGTAGCATGACAGGAGAGGTGTTCGCAGTGAAGCAGGTGGCGTTGGATCGCTCCGATGCTGACTTCAGGGGCGACCACTCCATCGAACAGCTCAAACAGGTGCTTGCGCGGGCAGATTAAACACATGGGGCGGGCAACTTGCGGTTGGGAAGGTCAAATGTGTGGGCGGGCAGCTGAAACAGCTGCCAAGTGAGCAAGCCATAAGATGCCTCTGCAGCTGGTCGTACTCTGTTTGTTCTCTGCCATGCGTTGCCATGTGATGCACGACTATCCTATTCCATGCCGTCCTAACCTGTCTCATCCCATCCCATCCCATCCCATCCCATCCCATCCCATCCCATCCCATCCCATCCCATCCCATCCCATCCCATCCCATCCCATCCCATCCCATCCCATCCCATGCCATGCCATGCCATGCCATCCCATGCCATGCCATGCCATGCCATGCCATGCCATGCCATGCCATGCCATGCCATGCCATGCCATGCCATGCCATGCCATGCTATCCCATGCCATGCCATGCCATGCCATGCCACACTGCACGGTGCAGGAGATCATGCTGCTGAGTCGCATCAACCACCCCAACATCGTGCAGTACCTCGGTTGTGAAATCGTGAGTGCTCTCGGCTCCCTCCTACCTCAGAGAATTCTCAAGAGTCAGTTCAGTGCACCATGCAGTACGTCGGTTGTGAGAATAAGAGTGCATGGTGTTGTCTCTGAGGGTACGAGTGTGTGAGGTGAGGCTGTGAGGGTGTGACCAGTGTTGCCTTGCCACCAAGTATCGGATCCCCCACAGCACTTCACTGAACTTTGAGGCGCCTCTAAAGGCAATTCACCGTACCCCACTGCTCTCCACCCCTCCAGAACGACAAGTACCTGTACATATTCCTGGAGTACGTGGAGACGAGGTCCATCCTCAGCGTGCTATGTGGGCCTGGAGGCTGGAGCTACCAAGTGTCTGATTTCCTCACCGCACCCCACCTCACCCCACCCCACCGCTCTCCACCCGTCCAGGACGACAAGTACCTGTACATATTCCTAGAGTACGTGGAGATGGGATCCATTCTGAACGTGCTGAAGAAGCTGCCAGTGCGCCCCCACGCGCTGCTCAGCAAGTATGTGCGCCAGGTGCTGCAGGGACTCGCCTTCCTGCACTCCATGGAGTTCGTCCACCGGTGAGTGGCATGGGGGGAAGGGAGGGTGGGGGGTGCAGGTGCCGCCCGCAAGGGCAGGTGAGTGGCAGGTGCTGCAAAGGCTCGCCTTCCTGCACTCCATGGAGTTCGTCCACCGGTGAGTGGCATGGGGGGAAGGGAGGGTGGGGGGTGCAGGTGCCGCCCGCAAGGGCAGGTGAGTGGCAGGTGCTGCAAAGGCTCGCCTTCCTGCACTCCATGGAGTTCGTCCACCGGTGAGTGGCATGGGGGGAAGGGAGGGTGGGGGGTGCAGGTGCCGCCCGCAAGGGCAGGTGAGTGGCAGGTGCTGCAAAGGCTCGCCTTCCTGCACTCCATGGAGTTCGTCCACCGGTGAGTGGCATGGGGGGAAGGGAGGGTGGGGGGTGCAGGTGCCGCCCGCAAGGGCAGGTGAGTGGCAGGTGCTGCAAAGGCTCGCCTTCCTGCACTCCATGGAGTTCGTCCACCGGTGAGTGGCATGGGGGGAAGGGAGGGTGGGGGGTGCAGGTGCCGCCCGCAAGGGCAGGTGAGTGGCAGGTGCTGCAAAGGCTCGCCTTCCTGCACTCCATGGAGTTCGTCCACCGGTGAGTGGCATGGGGGGAAGGGAGGGTGGGGGGTGCAGGTGCCGCCCGCAAGGGCAGGTGAGTGGCAGGTGCTGCAAAGGCTCGCCTTCCTGCACTCCATGGAGTTCGTCCACCGGTGAGTGGCATGGGGGGAAGGGAGGGTGGGGGGTGCAGGTGCCGCCCGCAAGGGCAGGTGAGTGGCAGGTGCTGCAAAGGCTCGCCTTCCTGCACTCCATGGAGTTCGTCCACCGGTGAGTGGCATGGGGGGAAGGGAGGGTGGGGGGTGCAGGTGCCGCCCGCAAGGGCAGGTGAGTGGCAGGTGCTGCAAAGGCTCGCCTTCCTGCACTCCATGGAGTTCGTCCACCGGTGAGTGGCATGGGGGGAAGGGAGGGTGGGGGGTGCAGGTGCCGCCCGCAAGGGCAGGTGAGTGGCAGGTGCTGCAAAGGCTCGCCTTCCTGCACTCCATGGAGTTTGTCCACCGGTGAGTAGGGAAGGGGCCTTTTAGATTGTGCACTGGTGAGAGGAGAGGGGAAGGGCGTTGAGCTGTGAGTGCGCTTGCGTTCCTTGCTCGGCAAGAGTGCGGGTCGGGTTGAGACGACTCAAAGCTGCGCAGCAAGTATGTGCGGCAGGTGCTGCAGGGGCTGGCGAGTGATTCTTGAGAATTCTCAGAAATCACTCACAGGCGCTGCAGGGGCTGGCGTTCCTACACTCCATGGTGTCCGTTCACTGGTGAGAGGGGGAGCGGGGGAGAGGAAGGGAAGGGGGACATCAAGTGCAGCAACATCCTGCCTGGTAGATAAGAGCGGCACCATCAAGCACCCACTCACCCATGCGTGCATGCCTGTCGTGCCATCACTCATCACCCACCCATGCCATCACCCCATCCACCCATGCGTGCATGACATGGCATGCAGGGACATCAAGTGCAGCAACATCCTGGTGGATAAGAGCGGCACCATCAAGCTCGCTGACTTTGGCCTCGCCAAGCATGTGCGTGCATGGGGGTGTAGTGAGGCGAGTTTTGAGTGAACTCGAGTTTTGAGTGAACTCGAGTTTTGAGTGAACTCGAGTTTTGAGTCGAGTCGACTGAAAAGGCACCATCAAGCTCGCTGCTGACTTTGGCCTTGCCAAGCATGTGCGTGGGGAGGGGGACCATGGGACGTGTGAGAGAGTGGTCGACTGTGAGAGAGTGGTCGACTGTGAGAGAGTGGTTGACTGTGAGAGAGTGGTCGACTGTGAGGGACTGGGAAGGCGTGTGTGTGGGTGGGAAGCATAGGGTTGAAACCTTTTGAATCTCACTTGTGTCATTACCCTTTCCTCCATCTCACCGCTTCCCGCTCCATCCAATCCCTGTTCCCCTTCCCCGCTTCACCCCTCCATTATACCCCTCCTCCTCATCCTCCCCTACCTCCTCCTCCTCCTCCTCCTCCTCCTCCTCCTCCTCCTCCTCCTCCTCCTCCTCCTCCTCCTCCTCCTCCTCCTCCTCCTCCTCCTCCTTCTCCTCCTCCTCCTCCTCCTCCTCCTCCTTCTCCTCCTCCTCCTCCTCCTCCTCCTCCTCCTCCTCCTCCTCCTCCTCCTCCTCCTCCTCCTCCTCCTCCTCCTCCTCCTCCTCCTCCTCCTCCTCCTCCCCTACCTCCTCTCCTCCTCATCACAGTACTCAGCATCGCTGGACATGACCGGCTGCCGTGGCACGGTCTGGTGGATGGCACCCGAGGTACGCAGCTCCTGGGGTAGGTGTTATCTCTGGGTTAGGTGATGTCTGGGCTAGGCAGAATTCACACGATGAGTCTATGTGCTTGATGATTTTGCGCTTGTGCTCTATGAGCCTCTTCCCCACCTCCTCACTCCCCCCACTTCCCCCCTCCCCCTCTACCCCCCTCCCCCCCCCCCCCCCCAGGTTATCAACGCATCGGGAGGCTACGACTGGGCGGTGGACATATGGTCGCTGGGCTGCACGGTGATCGAGATGGTCACGCTCTGGCCGCCCTGGTTCCACCCCGCCTCTGGCTGCCCCATCTGGGGCCGCGGCTTCGGCCCTGTGAGTGCCCAACTTGCTGTCTTTATCTGCTTCGTCTCTCGCCTCCATTGCCAGTGTCACATGTTCCCCACATTCCCCACATGCTCTGGCCGCCCTGGTTCCACCCCGCCTCCGGCTGCCCCATCTGGGGCCGTGGCTTCGGCCCTGTGAGTGCACACGCCCTATACTGTCCCCTCCATACATACCACCAGTGTCCCATGTGTCCCACATGCCCCTCATACCCCACATTCCCCATGAATCTGGCGTGGAATCCCTCTCCAACGCCATTTTTCCCCCTCTCTCACCCCACACCCCCCCCCCATCGCCTGCACCTGTCACACTCCCAGGAAACAGCCTTCATGAAGATTGCGGGCACGCAGGTGCCTCCCCCCCCATCCCCCCCGGCCTGTCGGAGGATCTCGCAGACTTCATCGCCAGCTGTCTGCACCTCTCTTTTGAGTCGACTCAAAAGTCAACCAGCTGTGTGCACCTCTCTTTTGAGTCGACTCAAAAGTCAACCAGCTGTCTGCACCTCTCTCCTCACCCCCCCTCCGCCTGCACCTCTGTCGCCCCCTTACCAGGAAACGGCCTTCATGAAGATAGCAGGAACGCAGGTGCCTCCGCCCATCCCACCGGGCCTATCAGAGGATCTCGCAGACTTCATCGCCAGCTGTCTGCACCTCGATCCGCGCCGCCGCCCCGCTGCCACCGCCCTGCTGCGCCACCCCTTCGTGCTCGCGCACTCGCCTTAGTAAGCAGCCAGCCTCCACCCCCGCTGCACCTCCACCCCCGCCCCCCCTTCCCGCCACCGCTCCCTTGAGGCACCCCTTGCTGCTCTTGCACTCCCCATCGTAAGCAATGATCTTTATTTGGTCCCATTGTGGGAAGGCAGTTCAGCATGTCCTAGCACTCTCCTTCCGTCCTTGCTGAATTTTGAGGCGCCTTGATGTTCTCACCCTTCACCAAGTGAAATCTTCAATGTAACGCTACATTCCACCTCATTCTCTCCTCGTGCTCGCCTCCCTTCCCTTCCCCTGCCATATCTTCGTTTTCTGAATCCTTCATCCCTTTCTCTCGTCTCCTCTTCATGACTCTCTCCTCCCCTGCCTTCCATCCCCATCTCCCCTCTCTCCTCTGTCATCTTTCCTCTTTCCTCTCCCATTCACTCCCCAACCCCCTTGTACAGTTCCTCTCCTGCATCGGCGCGCAACCCTCAGGTGTACCCGCCGCTTCCCACCACCATCTCCACCACCTCCCACCGCTCTTCATCCCACTCCTCTCGCCTCTCCTCGCCCTCCCAAGGCCCCCTTGAGTCCACTCGCAAGCCGCGCTCCTCCTCCCGCTCCTCCTCCTCCCTCATCTCCTCCCCCTCCCAGGCGCCTGCTCCCTTCCTCTTCCCCCCCTCCTCCTCCATAAGCCCACGGTCAGAGACCGCCCTCGTTACTGTCACATCGCATGGGCAGCAGGGGCAGATGCAGCAGGGGCAGACGCAGCAGGGGAAGCAGGCACAGCAGCAGCACTGGGCGCAGCAGCAGGAGAAGCAGCCGCTGCTGCAGCTGTCGCAGCAGCAATCACAGCAGCAGGCACAGAGTCGAAGCTCCAGCTTGCAAGAACTCGCTTCAAACCACTCCCCACCTGCACTCCTCCCTTCTCCCTCCCTCCACCCCCCACATGCCCCACACTCCACCTCCCCTTCTCCTTCCGCCCAAACCGCCCACCCCATTTCCATCTTTTCAAAATCCTCCTTGGTTCCATCCGGCCCATCCGCTGCCTTTTCCTCCTCCGCCCCCTCCGGCCCCTCCGCCCCCTCCGCCCCCTCAGCGTCCACTGCGTCGTCCCCACTGGGCAACCCCAGGCTGCAGTCGTCGCGGTGGGCAGATGTGTCTGGTGCATCGGGCGATGCACCCAGTGCTGCTGCTCTGCTTCACCCCTCTGTGACCCCCCTTCCACTCCAAGCCATCCCCGCTGCAGCTGCTGCCAGCCGTGTAACGCCAGAGGAGCGGGAGAGAGAGCGGTGGTGGGCGAAGCACGGAAAGGCTATGCTACGAGAGGAGAGAGAGAGGGGGTGTGAGGAGGAGGAGGAGGAGGGGGGAAGTGTGCAAGGAGGGCAGGGAGAGGGGGCGCAGCGAGGTGTGATAGAGGTGGAGCAGAGGGGGCAGGGAGGGGGAGCGCAGCGAAGGCTGTTGGAGGCAGCAGCAAGGGCAGCAGCAAAGGCAGCTAGAGAGTGGAGGGAGGGAGGAAGTGACGTGGCACTGGATGCTGACCTGGCAGTGGATGCTGACCTGGCAGTGGCGCCTTCTGACGGTGATGGGGATGGTGGACATGAGGGGAGAGGTGCAAGTGAGCTGAGTGGGAGATCGAAGTGGGAGGAGAGGGAGAAGAGGAGCGAGAGAGGAAGTGTGACGGGAAGAGGGAGTGAGCGTGAGAGCAGGGAGGAGAGTGGGAGGGAGAGTGGGCGGGAGAGTGGGAGGGAGAGTGGGAGGGAGAGTGGGAGGGAGAGTGGGAGGGAGAGTGGGCGGGAGAGCCGCAGCGGCAGGGTGAGTAGCAGAGCGAGCAGTCGGGGCAGTGAGGGCGCTAGCAGTCCCAGCCACAAGCGGGGCAGGTCAACGCGGGAAGGCAGGTCAACGCGGGAAGGCAGGTCAACGCGGGAAGGCAGGTCAACGCGGGAACATAAGGCAAACCGTGAAGGCAGATCATCTGGGGAAGGCAGGTCGCCTAGGGAAAGCAAGTGGCGGTTTCCCCTCTTTGGCAGGTCCAGCAGCTGGGCAGGGGCAGGGCGGCACGATGGTGAGGCAGGCGCAGGGCAGATGGTTGGTGGACAGGCGACCGGCAGGAATGGGAATGGATGCGAGGCGGCAGGAAAGGGAGATGAAGAGGCGGGGAGCAGGGGCTGGATTGGCTTGAGTGTGCGGGAAAGGTTACGGCGGGATGGAGGGGTGGAGGCAGCACATGGGGGAGAGAGATACAGTGCGCTGGGACGAGGGTTGGAGAGAGGTGGAGGGGGGGATGAGGCTGAGAGTGAATCTGCTGCCCCTCCCTCCTCTCCCCGCCGTCTTACATCCCCCTCTTCCCCCTTCCCCTCTTCCCCCGCCAACTCCGCTCCATCACCCCCTGCTCCTCTCTCTCCCCCTGCTTCACCCTTCCCTGCCTCTCGCCCACCCTCTCCCAACCCTGCAAATCCCCTCTCTCCCTCCCCTGCGAACCCTCTCTTGAATAACAATCCAACCCACCACCGCTCCTCCCTCATCTCCCTCCCGGCACCCACCATCAGAGTCATGGACCCCATTGTACCTCACCCCACAGCACCACAACCCACCGCTCCACAACTCACTGCACCTGATCCAGTCGCCCGTGAGCCAGCTCAGAGTGGACGGGCAGATGCAGGCTCAGATGTAGACGCGCCAAGGAAGAACGCTGCTGCTGCGGCAGCCCCTTGGATTGGAAGGGCGAGTTCAGCCTCCGATGTGGAAAGGGATCATGATAATCTCGCTGCTGCTGCTGCTCGGGTTGGAAGGGCGGATCCAGCCTCAGATGGGGACATTACAAGGCAGAGGCAGGGTGGCGGTGAGAAGAAGGGGCGGGAGAGAGTGCGGGAGCCAGTATCCCTGTGGCACAAGTTCCAGGAGTTGAAGGTGGGGGGAGGGGTTCCCAGTGGGGAAGCACGAGCGGATGCAGAGAGGCGAGGAGAAGCAGCGAGAGAGGGAGGTGTGGAGAGACAGCAGGTGGAATCGGGGAGAGAGGTGGCAGCAGCGTCACAGCCCAGCAGTGCGCTTCTCTCAAGGCCGGGCAGTGCATCGGAGCAGACTTGTTTTGACGCACCTCACAAGCTGGCAGCGACGTCACAACGGACCAGTGCCCTTTTCTCAGTGCTGGACAATGGTTTGGAGCAGCAAGGCCGAGCAGGGGGGGATACAGATGCAACAGTGTCAGGGCGGAATGGCATATCGGGGGTGGAGCAGGAAGGGGGGCCAGCTGTGCCAGCAGCGGAAGGTGGGGCAATGGAAGAGTTAGAGGATCTGCTGGGTCCTCCGAGCATTGTGGTGCCGCAGAGAAAGATTCTCAAACACTTCGTGCCGCTGCCCACTGCTGCTTCTGCTGCTTCTGCTTCTGCTGCTGCTGCTGCTGCTGCTGCCGCTGCTGCCCCTCTGCAAGCACCACCACCTGCTTTTACCGCTCCTGTTACTACTGCCACCGCGCAGCACTCCTCCTCTGCCTCCTCTGAGGCGCTCTCCTCGCAACATTCCCTCTCCCAATCCTTCCACTTCGTCTCTCCTCCCTCCTTCCTGCCGCCCCGTTCCCCTGCTTTCTCCATCCATCCACAAACCACCACAACCCCCGCTGCTTCCCTCCCGCTCTCCCACTCGTCCTCGTCTACTTCTTCTCCCTTCCCTCCCTTCCCTACGCCCCCCACCAACCGCTCTGTCTCTCTGACTGCTGCTACCGCCTCTCATTCCCCACCCTCCTCCTTCACTGCCTCGCCTGATCACACCCACACTGCTGCTGAATCCACTCTCCCTTCTCACCTGCCAATAACACCATCAGCACCACCAGCACCACCAGCAACATCAACGCCATCAGCACCACCAGCACCATCAGCACCGTCAGCACCACCAGCACCACCAGCAACCACGTGGGGAGGAGGAGCAAGCGTATTGGTCCCCACCATTCCGCCATCTTTCACCCCATCTCCACCTCCCACTTTCCCCGCACCATCTCCTTCCCAGACCACACTTGAGGCATTTCAAAAGCCATCTCCACCACCTGCTTCACCCTTCCCACCCCTCTCCACCACACCATTGTTTGCATCATCTGCCCCAATCCCAGTTCCACATCCCTCCACTCCACTCCCCCCCTTCACATCCTCTTCTGTCCCCCCCCTCTTCCCCCCTGCACCGTTCCCCCCCTCACTGCTGCTACCTTCTCATCCGCCCTTCCCTTCAGTATCCCCCTCTCCCCCGCCCGTCCCCACCACCGCTCTCCTGCCACCCACTCCCGTTCAATCGCCCCCCACTCTCCTGCAATCCACTCTCCTGCAATCTGCTTCCCCTCAAGGCGTAACCAGAAGCACAGGCACACACAGCAGTGCGCTTGCATGCAGCAGCACCAGTGACTCGGTGAGTGAGGGGCCTGGTGGGAGCGGGGAGGGGAGGGCGAGTGGTATTGGTGGGGAGGAGGGCGAGCAGCAGTACTACCAGCGGAGCAGGCAGAGGAGGCGGCGGAGAAGCAGACAGGTGTCTGTTTCACCTGTACGGGAGAGAAGTGGTGGACCATCTGAGCAGAGCCTGCTGCAGCAGAGCCAGCTGCAGCAACAGGTTCAATGGGAGCAGATGCAGCAGGTGCAGCAGGCGTGGCTGCAGCAGCAGGCAGCCGTGATGCAACAGTGGATGACGCAGCAGCAGCAGATGATGCAACAGCTGCTGCAAGCGCAAACGCAGCAGCAGCAGCCGCAGCAGCAGCACCAGTGGCAACAGCAGCAGCAGCTGCAGCTGCAACAACAGCAGCAGCAACAACAGCAGCAGCAACTTCAGCACCAGCAGCAATGGCAGCAGCAGCAACAACAGCAATGGCAGCAGCAGCAGCAGCAGAAGCAGCAGCAACATCAGCAGGAGCAGCAACAGCAACAGCAGCAGCACCAGCAGCAGCAGCAACAGCAGAAGGAACAGCTACAGCAGCAGCAGCAACAAGAGCAGCAGGCAGAGTCGAGAAGGGAGCAGATCGAGCAGCCAGAAATTCAATTGGTGCAACACACACGGCAAGTACCGACTGAAGAGCAGATGGGGAGGGGAGAGCAGCAGGCGGATGCAGTGGAGGGGGTTTTGGGTCCGGAGACGAAACAGGGTCAAGAGGCGACGTCTGAGCCAGTGCTGCAGATGATCCAGGTGTGGTCGCAGCAGCAACAGTCCCTGCAGCAGCAGCTTGAGCAACTGGCGAAGCAGCCTCGGCAGGAGCCACAGTCGCTACAGCAGCTGCCGCAGCAGCAGGAGCTTCCAATGCAGCAGCCATGGATGCAACAGCAGAGGCAGCAGCAGCAGCTGGAGCAGGCGCCATTTGTACATCAAGAGCAGCAGGGAATGGAAGTTACCGTATCTAAGGTCAGAGAGTCAAAGGCGTCCGCTGCACCGAGCAATAACCAGGTGCAGACAGCAAGAGCAGGTTCCGAGGTTCCGGTCATGTCTCCTGCATACTCCCATGGGAGCGATGCAGAGAAGAGAGCCATCGTGAAGGTTTTGTCAAACAATGAGGTACAGTCGCCACGGAATCTCTGGAACCGGTTTAAGCAGCAAAGGGGGCATATCCAGAAGCATGAAGAGGAGGATGTTCGACATGTGGAAGCTTCTTCTTCCATGAGTACCGCTGGGCGTGAAATGTTGTCTACTACCTTTCCGCCCATCAGTCTCAAAGCGCGTGATTTTCCAGCTTCTGCAGAAGGGGAGTTTCTTGAGAAACCAACATTCCCTCCGCTGTTCATTGTGTCACGGGACTCTGATGGTGGTACGACCGCCTTCTTGGACGTGGGACGTGGTTAACATATTAATTAGATTAATTCAATTTGACTACTCTTATGTTTAGTGTCGCATTTGAGTTCATCAAAACCCCGTGTGTTGGTGCTGCTAGGTTGGTTCGAGAACTGTTGCTTCTCCGAAGCTCAGGTGCTCAAACCACACCGCCACGCCAAGCCTTCTGTCATCCGCGGAACATTTCCCGAGCGTATTCACAGATCGAGGCGGAGGGATGCGGTCAGCCCCACATTCCAGAATGTTTTCCGCGCCTCCGCACCATACCCAAACCTTCGCTTCGGCAGCTTGAGCAGCTACCTCTTCTGCCCTCGAGCTTGACGCGGCCTTGGCGGGAAACCCTTGCCTCGGGTTTTGGCTTTTTAGGGGGTCTGCCTTGGGCTTTTGGGTGCCTGTGGGTGATTTTCCTGCCCGCATGTGTAAGCACTGGGACTTACCTGCTCAACTGTCTGTTGGATCTCTGGTGCTTTCTGGGCTGCGTAGCAGTCCGTGTGATTCGGAACAGATTTGAAAACATTTTGACACCACTCGCCCAACCATCCATACCTGTTCGCAAGCACAACCCCCTGCTCCCCAGCTTCCTGCCAGCAATTTGCGGATTCGTTCTTCTCCTAAGCTTCTACCCTTCGACTACAGTTCCAGGCCCGCAGTAGCCGTCCTATCACATCGGTAGCCCGTGCTCGAGCCCTTCCGTCTCGCGTCGTTGCGACTCGCATGCGTACTCAATAGTAGACTGTCGGAGCTTGGCAATGCAACCGAGCGAGCATGACTGGTGGCGGGACTGCTTCACACGTGGCAATTCCGGCCTATTCCTCCGAGTCGTGTTTATTATCGCCCTGCTTCTCTTCGCCTCCAGCCGGGTAGCAAACGCCAGCAACCTCAAAGAATCTTCCAATGAGGAACCCAAGAAATCAGCTTATATTACCAGTCCCAAGCTTAGTCCGAGTCACCGCAGTACTGAAGAAGCGGTGCCGTTTGTGGATTCTAAAGACACGCGCGGAATAACCGCTGATCCTGCCACGTCAGACGGACCTGTCGGCACCATTGTTCCCTCGCAATCGACACTTCTTCCGAGGTCCAACCGTTTCCACCAAAAACACCCGGCTGCTTCTTGTAATGCATTCATTTTTCGTTCGCAGTTCCGTGCCCAGCGTATTCACTTTTTGGGAGCAGTCGTCTCGCAGTTCTCACTCAGTTCGCTTCTTGGAATATATTGTTTCTTCTCAACCCCTTTCCCAATCCCTCACCTATCCTTATCCCTATGACCCCCTCGCTTCGAGTCCCAGTCCCAAGAACAAATTTGATTCCTATCGTTTGTTCCCAATGACTACACCTCCCGACTCATCCCAGACCATCCTCCTCGTCGAATGTTCTAATCACGCTATTAGACGGCTCGATAAGAGCCGTAGACTCGCGAACCGGCGAGGTGAAATGGACCTTCGCGTCCGGCCAGCCGCTCGTCTCCGCCGCCGGTCCAGCGCAGGGAGCAGGAGCGGAACGGGGACTGGCGGAAGGGGGGCTGGCGGAAGGTGCAGGGAGGAGGGGAGCGGAAGAGAGTGCGCAAGCGGGAAAGGCTAGGCATGCGACGGCGGAACGATGGGGCACGGGAGATGAGGTGGACTGGGACTATGAGGAGGATGAGGATGAGGAGGAGGGAGAGGAGGAGTGGGGATGGGGGGGAGTGAGGAGCGGAAGGGAGAATGGTGCGCATGGCGGTGGGGGTGGCGGGAGTCTCGGGAGTGGGAAGAGTAGCGGGAAGGGGGAGGTGGGAAAGGGGAGGGGGAGAGGAGGGGGCAAGGAGATGGTTATTCCGGGGGTGAATGGGCGCCTGTACTCTTACAGGGAAGGTCTTGGCTTGCAGGTACGTATGTGGATTGGATTTTGCATGTGCGTGGAATAAAAATAAGTTCACATGCGTGGAGGGAATCTGTATGTGCGTGGATGGATTGATGTGGCAAGTGCGTATGCGTGGAGGTGCATGCGCGTGGTGGGCGTGTAGGCGAATTCAGGGTAGGTAGGGAGATGTCTTGTCTGGCATCTGCCGGCATTGTCTTGTCTTGCTGCACCCTTCATGCCTGTTAGGTCGCATCACCCTTCTCATACCCTCATTCTACACTCCACACCATAGAAGCTGCCTCTCGCCCTCCCCTCCCCACACAACGCGTTTCCCTCCCTCCCGCTCTCCTCCCCTGGTCTTACCCACCTCCCACCATGGCCTACCAATAATCATCCCCCTTCCCCCTCTTTTCGTTCCTTCACCCCCATTCCCCCAGGAACTGCCCGTAACAGCCAAAGAGCTCGTCTCCGCCTCGCCTTCAGTCACCCGCGACGGCGCCACCGTGATCGTTGGATCGCAGAAATCAACGGCCTTCCTGCTCGACCCAGTCACAGGCGCTGTGCTGCGCTCCTTCGACCCGCTCGCTCCTCCGGGCGGCGGTGGCTTGTCCTTTTCTGCGACTAGTAATGATGGGAACGAGCAGGCGGACGGCCCACTGGCGGAGTGCCTGAAAATGGCAGAAGAGGAGGGCGGTGGAGGCATGGGCGTTGATGGCGTTGGGTTCCTGGAAGGTTCTAGGAGCAGTGAGAGGGAGGTAGCAGGTGTATCGCAGCAACACCAGCAGCAGCAGAAGAAGGAGGAGTGTGATCGCCTGCTTGCCTCGTCCCTTCTGGTGCTCCGAACCGACTATGTGGTTCGGGCGGTGGAGCTCAGGTCCGGCAAGCAGCGGTGGAACGTCAGCTTCGGCGAGCTGAGCCCCGTGAATGGAGCTCTGCTGGGGCTAGCGGGAGGCGTGGGGGGGGGCGTGGGGGGCGGAGCACCAATCGGGGGAGTTTTGGGGGGAGCGCTGGGGGCAGGAAGGGGAGGCGGAAGGGGAAAATCAGGGATGGACCTTACAGGTAGAGGCGTGTTTGATGGTCATGGGAATGAGGTGCCTAAACGACAGCTCTTGCCATCCAGCGTTCCTGGAGAAGATACGGACCCAGAAATTGATCTGGGTATTGAGGCGGGGGGACAAGGGCAGGGGGGTAGAGACGATATTGGAGGTTCAGGGTTGGCAGGATTCAACACAGGGTTGACCGCTGCAGCTACCACGAGTATAGACCCATCTGAAGAGGGTAATTCTGACATTTACTCAATCCAGCTGACCAACTCGCATAATGGTCAGCAGGCATGGCAGACGACTTTTTCGTCTGCCCCGCTCGCAGCGTTCACGCCGTCGGGCAGGCTGGTGCAGGAATTCGTGTCGCGCGATTCGTCCAAGGACACGGGGCCCGGGCAGGTGCTGTATGTGGGGCGAGTGGCGGGCAGTCCATTCGCCCTCGTCACTCCCAGCACCACTGACGCACCGAACGCCGCTCTCCCCCTCCTCCCGGCCTCACCTCACTCCCCCTCGCCCTCCGATGGCCTGCCTGTGGGCATGTCTGCAGGCATGTCGGGTGGTGGGGGAATGGGGGGTGGTGGCGCGGTGGCGGGTAGGACAGGCAAGTTCACAGTCACAGAGCCGCCCAGGATTGCAGGGACGCGAGGAGCAGGAGGTGCTGCTG